CATCATCATCATCATCATCATCATCATCATCATCATCATCATCATCAGTTTTACAATTTTCCAAAAATCTAGTAGCTGTGAGAGTTTGCTTGTGCAATGGCATTTTAAGAAAACATTGGTTTTGTTATTCATTGGTTATGTTACCTTTTAAGTACAGAGCAAAATTTAAATAAGTGGACATCATGCCTTGATATAGTCTATAAATTTTTTTTTGTCCAAATATAGTATTTTGTTTCATTAAGAAACTTCAGGGCTGGAGAGATGGCTCAGTGGTTAAGAGCATTGTCTGCTCTTTCAGAGGTCCTGAGTTCAATTCCTAGCAACCACATGGTGGCTCACAACCATCCATACCCTTTATTTAATACCTTCTTCTGGTGTGTAGATATAAATGCAGATAGAGCGTTCATATACATAAAACAAATAAATAAAACATTAAAAAAAAACACTTCAAATAAAGTCAACTGGAAGTAGAATACAAATGCCAGTCACCTAGAGCATGTGAATTTTAAAATTAAAAAATTCCTAGTAATCATTTAATAAAAGAAAATAAGATAAATACTTGTGGGGGGGTTAAGGTTTTATTTTAGCTCACACTTTGAGGTACAGTTCACCCTGATGAGGAAATCATGGCAGCACGGGTCCTATTGCATCCACAGTGAGGGATCAGAGAGATGCAAATGCTGCTATTCTGCTTTATGTTTTCATTTTTTAAAGTATCTTTCATTTATACATTGGCCATTTCATGCATGTTCACAGTGTGTGGCAGCCATATTGCCCTGTTTCTCCCTCCCTCTCCCACACCAACCCAAACACATATATTTATTTGCTGTAACCCACTGAGTCCAGTTGGTGCTGCCTGCTGGGATGCTGGCTGATCTTGTAGACTTGGCCTTGCACAGGTCTTGTGCAAGTCATCATAACCATAGTGAGCTTATCCATGCAATGGCCATGTCATGTGCCAAAGGCAGCTTTTCCTATCCTCACACTGTCCTCTGAGCCTTGCAGAGTGAGGTAGTTGAAATAGATGTCACATTTAGTGCTGAGCTACCAGTATTCAGTTATCCTTAGCACTTTAATAAGAGCTATGAGTTTTTGTGTTGTTTCCCACAGCAAAAAGATGGCTCCTCAGTCCAAGGCTGAAAGTGCTCCTAACCTATGGGCGTAAACACTGTGCTTCAAACACTATGTATACAGGACTCCATGAAGGCCAACCTGAAGGAAATAATCCAAATGATGTTGATTAAGTTAAAACAGAGTGGTAACTATACAGCTGTTCATTTCATTCTTAAATTTTCCACTTTTTGGAAACATTTAGTACTCAAAAGAGAAAGTGGAGATTGCATTCATGTACCGTTCTATGTTAATTTTTGCATATAATGCATTCCATTCTCTAGTTGAATTTACTGATTCATTTTATTATTATAAGTAAATCTTTCTCGTTGATTAAGTGTCTTACATTTAGATGTAAATTATTTGAATAGTGGCTAAAGAAAGTGGGGGACATTTATCAAAGAATGCGTACCTTCAAAGGTTGGGGAAATTTAAGCATTTTCATGGAAAGGAAATTATTCTGAAAACTGCCCTGGAAAACTATCCTACATAAATTTGTTTAACAAATAGTTAAAAATGGTGCTGAATGTATGACGTGATTAGCTTGTAAGAGATCTTTTTCCTGCCAACTTATGAGCAGAGTATATTCAACATTTGTATCAAATTCCTTCCTCCCACTTTAGTTTTGTGTCATTGTTTCAAAACGCCTCCTGGCGGGGAAAAGACTAGGAATACTCTGCCCTCTAGCTGAGACTGTACAGGATCTAAAGAGTGAGTCCCTTTGCACCATGCCAAAAAAGAAAAAAAAAAAAAGTCACTGCATCTGTCAAAGAGATCTTGTCAGTTTTATCTCTCTCCCATATTCTTTCCAACAATCTCAAAAGTTTTTTCCTCCAATGTTCCTTATTATTGATCTTGTTTTGCCTTTGCAGGAGTTCCTCCTCAGGTTAACTATAGCCATTTTTTATACACACACATGACTTCTTCCAGGAAGGTGACCCACTGATTGAGGATGTTATTTGGCCTATGTTTTCTTGATAAGAAATTATATAAGGTGCTTGATTTTGCTGTTATACCTGCTTCTGTTTGGGTCAAAACCGCATCATTTGGGGGTGGCTCATTGCTGTAATCATTCACTAGGGTTGCTCAGACCACAGATTTCGCAATGCTCTGAGAGGTTATTCAACCTTTCTCTGGGTAACATGTCATGTTCTCACCACCAATTCCCAAACATATACTCATGTATTTAAATGCCCGGGGAACGTCTGGATGCTGGGCACCAGTGTAAACATTTGACAATCAATATTCATTCTGAACAGTCTTTTACAGCAGGATGTATTCGTTACCAGATGATTTCTCTCTTAATTACTTGAACAAAGAAAAAAAAAAAAGAAAAGAAAATGCCATGTGGTCAGGGAGAAAATGTACTTAAACAATGTGATATGGAAGGAACTGGGAATTAGGTTGCTTTTGTTTGTGTTGCGGACTGAACTCAGGTCCTCATATATGCTAAGCACACATTCATCTCATCCTCAGCCTGCAGTCAGAGTGCTTTCCCTTGATTAGGTGAAGAAGGCTGGTTAGCAATTTGCCATTGAATGAACATTCTGAGAGGCTGAAAGTAGTTGATTGCCTAAATCATAATCAATGGAGCTGCTGAATTCCTATCTAACTAAATAAGTACATAGAAATTGTTGGAAAGGAATGGTGAAATGCTGTACAGCCCCTCTATACCACAGATTCAATTTAATTTCAGTTACATTTATTTTAGTAATCCATCTGTACAGAAATACATTTTCCTGCCCTCCAGTCAGTTATAATAAAATTATTCAGACAAAAGAAGAAAAAAATGCCATGGTTTACTGAAAATAAACATTCTGAAAAAGTTTATAAAGTATGAATAATACTTCCTGATTGAACAATTGCCTTGACTGTCTGTTGTTCTACCCTTGTTTCTGTTGCTATGATAAATTACTTCCATGAAAAACAACTAAGAAATAAAACGTTTATTTGACTTAAAATTCTAGATCATAGTCCACTCCTGAGAGAAGATCAAGTCAGAACCTTGACGAATCCCATCCGAGGTCAAGAACAGAGAGAGGATATAAGCCTGGCTCCTTGCTCATCTACTTGCTGATTTAAGAGGTTCCCTTCACTCTTATAGCTCGGGACTCAGCCTGTGGAATGGTGCTGCCTACACTGCCTGCAGTCAATCAACAAAGGAGACAATTTGCCCACAGATATGTCCATGAGCCAACCTCTACTATGGAATTCTTCAACTGAGACTGTTTCCATGGGGTCTCAGCCTTCCTAAGGCTTTAATACAGTTTCTCAGGTTGCGGTGACTCCAGCCATAAAATTATTTGCATTGCTACCTCATGAATGTAATTTTGCTACTGTTGTGAAGCATATTGCAAATATCTGTGTTTTCCGATGGTCTTAGTTCACCCTTGTGAAAGGATTGTTGAACCCTGCAGAGGTCATGACCCACAGGTTGAGAACTGTTATTCTATTTCCAGGTGATTCTAGGTTGTGGTAGGTTGACATTCAAAATAATAACCACAACAATATGCAGTTCAGTAGGAGTGATTAAGATGCTTAGTTATAAAGAATGCCTTTTTCATTATAAAAAGGTATAAGATGTCTACTGTGCAGTTGTTACTATTTAAGTGCTGAGAGTACAATAGAGAAATAATTAAACAATACAGAATATATTAAACAACAGAGACAAAAGGGATGCACATAGAAATATGAAGCTTCAATTGTTTTTATTATACTTTCCAAAGCAGACATAAAGTCCCATTATAATAAATGAGCCATTATAATTACATGCATTATGAAAAGCAAAACGATCACTCTTAGTCTAAGAGAATATTAACATTCTTCTATACTACTTGAGGTGGAGAAGTCTTCTGAGTCATTTCAAGTATTTTCAGCAAAAAGAAAATAAATATCCAGTAGAAATTGGTGAATACATATTCAATAAGTTCTATAATGGTAATCAAACTAGCTCCACAAAATAGGCCCAGCTGACCACCAACATCTGCTGTAATAAAAATCCATAAAGAAATTTACATTTTTATAAAACAAAAGTAAATATTATTATAGTATATATATAATATACATTATTATATATTTGAATCCAGTAACTTAACCATGACTGATAGATGAAGATCCATTAGTTATATTTTCTTAAAATTTAGAGTAAATAATGTAATATAAACAATACTGACAGTAATATTCACACAAATCATCTCTAAGAGAAGAATGTATAAAACTCTGTTTCCAGAAGTTTCATTTAGACTTTGGAAGATTAGAGTGGCAGCTGAAATTTTAACTACAATGTAGTGTGCACTCATGAAATGCCAAGCAGAACTGGGTCATGGCACCAAATGGCCTTGCCAGATTATGTTGTTTCCTAGAAGATAATTTCCATGCAAATTGCCTTCCTAGTATCCTATTTATATTTTGTATCAAAGATTTATAATGGTCCATATAACCAAAATACATATTTAAAACACTGCATTGTAAAACATGTTTTCAACCTACATCCATAGACACAACATTTACATCAGAACCACTTGTGTGTGCGTCTAAGGCACAGGGGCATTCTCATTTTTTGGTCTTTATCATGAGTACCTCTAAAACCTTTCCACATTCTCCAGGAGAACTTTGAAAAATAACCTCCCAATCCCCTCCATCCACAAAGACCCCAGCATTCACCGTTTTGTCCTCTGGCCCTGTTTCCCCACCCCCCAGATGTCCTTGTTCCAGGACTTCCTTCTAGGGAAGATTGTTTAATAGTCTGCCTGGACTCATCTTTAGGAAGTGGGGTTGGTTTTGGTTAAAGCTTTGAAGAATTTGAATGCTTCCTCCTTCCCCTACCTGCTCCAGCTGACTGTAGGCTTATGCCTGAATCTAATGTTCTCCTGTGACTCCCATGGGCCTTCCCCTAGTGTGTAACGGGATCTAGGAAATCAGTAGTTTGTTAAAGACTCCATTTGGGAATAGCAGAAGCAGATACTGGTTGTAAAGGAAATAAATAATATTGCCTGCTTAGGACCACTTTTTCCCTCCCTGGGATAAAGCCCTCTGTGAAGCCTGAGGTTTGAACCTCTGAAACACTGTACAATAGGCACATGGTAATGGGTTGCTTGGAGGAAAAGCAACTGTGAGTGAACCTCTGCGACACACCTCAGTGTGTGGTGGGGTTAGAGTGCTGGTGTTTCCACTGACAACCTAAGTCCCCAATAGGAAAGGAGTCTGACAGAAAATGAGAGCAGAAGCCAACACACTTACCAAGTAACTCAGGCATGCTCACTGCCTTTTGTTGCTGTGTTATCTTATAGTTTAAGTCACTATAGTTTATTTCAATGTACACAAGGTTCTCCCTGGGGATAGAAACAGAATGAACACAGAATGCAGTGGTCACCACTACTCTTAATCCCCGTTTTAGATTCAGGAATTATTCAAGGTTGTATTAGAGCCATCATGTACTAGCTCAGTATTAATCCTGTTAGCATTATCTGGAAGGCACACTTGTTATGGTGATATTTGGAAAAAAAATGAAAATTAAAAACAAACAACCCCCCCAACTCATAAAATTGCTGTGCCTCATTCTTAAAAATACTGAAGAAAGACAGTAAATTTAATCATCTGATTGTGGCCCAATATATTTATAAACTTTTGGATTATAATTTTAATTCTATTCTTGACTTTCCCAAGTTGCCCAGATTATCCTGAAGAAGCAGTGTTGCTTCCTTGTCCAAGGTCAGTATAATAGAGTTGAGGTCACAGGTTTTAGTGAGAAATTAAATATGAACCAGGGTAGGAGCTTCCCTGCTGATAAATGCAATTTTCTGTTATTGTTGACAAACTTGAGCAAAGACTTTCTTTTCTTAATGCCTTTATAGAGCTTCACATGTGTTCAGAATGACTTGTTAAAACTATGACTCTTTATACAGTCAAGGCCCTGACTCTTCTCTCTTCCTAGACCTCTACTTTGGATTGCCCTCATTTATTTGGTTGATTTTTTATAATTTCAATTGCTTGTCTAATACCTTCATGTAGTCAACACATTCTAGGTCAAACTCTTGTTATTTTCCATTTGGACTCCCAGCTACTCTAACAGGAAATCTTGTTTGTGGAACTGTCAACATCTATATAGAGGCCCATTGTGTCACACCCTACTCTGCCACCCAGGGCATCATAATCTCACTAGGAGTTTTGTGATCGCTGTCTGGCTGAAGTGTGTGCTTTCAGTTTGAGGCATCCCACCTCAGCAAATACCCTCAGTTATTCATTCAACAGCCAACAACCTACTAAATAAGCACACTCAGGCTCGTGCCCTCATGCTCCCAAGGCACGCTGAGTGAGACATCTGCATGGACTTGTGAGTTCTTTTTCGCTTCTGCTCAAGGTCATTGCCTTGAGTCCACAAACCTGAAAACGGGTCTTTTCCCCCCTCTGGCTTCGCAGATGATTTCTCATCAGTCTTTTCTGTTACACGACCTATATACTTGTCATCCCGAGAGCACAACAAGGTGCGGCTTGTAAGTTTACCCACAGAGGCATCCCCATGCCAATCTCAGACATTTAATCCAAACACACTATGCATGCTCTTCAGATATTTGTTAGAAACCCAACAACTTAAAGACGAAAGCAGCAGACAAGTGGCTAAATATTAACCTGTCTGTGCTGAAAACAATTAGCACATGATTGTCAGAGGGCAATACGAATTTTAATGAGAAATGAGCCCCATTAGCAATGTGTCCTGAAAGAACATGGCATTCTCCAACATATCTAAGGAACATGGCTGTAAACCACTTTCCTTATTGTTTACACTCTAGGGATCAATACTCTGATATACTTAATTGAAAATGTACCATTAATATGTGTAGTTAATCTTCATTAGTCTAATGCTGGGTGACAGGAAAATGCACATTTAGACAGACTGTCAGTGGAAGTTGTAATATTTACAAGCGATAAAACAGTTATCAAAATAAAATAAGCATCAATGTTGTCATGGGAATGCAGAATTTTTAGTAACATTCCCATCTTTGTGTTCTCTGATGTGCTCTTAATTTGCATGCACACTGATAATATTGTTTAACTTTCCAAGCTAAACAATAATGATCATTTACAGAGACTATCCATCTGTGTTCCTGGGAGATGAGAAATTCCTCTTCCACAAAAATTGTTGTGGTGTTTATGCAACTTTTCTCTGTCAGTGGACTCATCCAGCTATGAGGGTTTCTGCAACTGGGACTCAAGAGAATAATGAGATCATTCTATTAAGTCAAAGAACATTTGCTTGTCTTAGGAGAAAGCATTGTTATAAAATAAAATCAGCTTTAAAACAGCAAAGAGATGAAAAAGAACTGATCCCATGTTTGTATTGCTAACCTCCAAGGGCTTGGGCATTAATATGGCATTGGAGGGAATGATCTGTTTTTGCACAAAGCAAACCATTTTGTGCAACTTTTATTTAAAAAAATTGTCCAGTAGGACAATTTAAAACGCCGACTTCCATTACCAATACGGTTTGATCAAATTCTGCCACAAATGAGCGTGGACTCAGCGCCACACTGTGCCCTGTCTCAGGTAAGTTAAGCCTGCCTCTGTCTACACCTCAGTCCTCAGCAATGGCTGCATGGAGCACTGGGACAGCCACAGTCCCAGGGAGATAGCTCCAGGGAGAAAGGTGCACAGTGTGCTTCGCGGTTAGCTGAGACGTGGCTTCTCACATCCGACTGCTAACATTCCGTAGATGCTCTCTGGCACTTCTTTACTGATACTGTAACTGAATCCTAACATCCAGCTAGGCACACCTAGGATCCTGGTACCCCCTTGTCTGGACACCGTTGCTCTGCTACTGGCTTTGTCATCACTAGTCACAAGCACACGAGGTCATTACCTGTTAATTAAGAGAGGACTGTTAGTAATAAACAGAGGACTAGAAAAGGAACCAGATAAGGGGAATTTCTGTGGATTTTGTTTCTGATTCACCAGTACATCTCCACGCCATACTCACATACCTTATAAATAAAATATTCTAAATTTGGGAGACATCAAAAAGTGCTGTTCTCTGTCATGCTTAAAGATACTGCCGTAACACTACATTCAAGACAGCTTTCCATATTAAAAACAAATACAGGTGTCTGTATTGGAGGCAGTATATTTTAAAAAGATATAACTGTGGGTTTTTGTTTTTTTGTTTTTTTTTTTTTGCTGTCTTTTTATCTACCTTGTGTTGGAATTCATTACTCAGAGGCCTGTCGTGTTGAAAATGATTTTTAAATTTTTTTGATCTGTAGAGATTATTCTATTGTCTATGTATTCACACAAGGATATTTTTTTTAACTTCATTAAAACAAACCCCAGGATAGAGTGAATCAAAACATGCTTTCAGTTGGGTGCTTGGCCATGCAAATATCAGTAAAGTTCACATCAGTTAAGATAGGATTATTTTAATAGTTGTAAGTACTAAAACCAACATACTATTACTGTTGTTTCAGGACCTAAGTCTATAAACATAAATATCACACACACACACACACACACACACACACACACACACACTAGCTCCCTGAGTTGTGGTTGAAAAGTGCCTGTTCATAAAACTCCAGGAAATAAATAAGTGGCTCTAAAGCCTTAGCAAGAGGATTTCCTGGGGTGGAGAAAAAGTCTAGGTATTGTGGCTCCTTGTGAAATAGATGCCTCCGAGATTCTGGTTTGAAAACTCTCTTTCTGGTTTCTTTTAAAAATATGACTCAATACCTCAAAACAGACCCAGGGCAAGATGGCGGCGCCGGGAGGACTCTCATTCTAAGGAGCAGCACAGCAGGATTGGCACCAGTGACCAGCAATCAGAACTCGTGGCCATAAAACACAAGTGATTGTGTTTCACAGGTGAGAGGATACCCCACGGTGGGAGATTCAATCAGCTTTAACTCACCCGGCTAAACCGCAGAAGAGATCCCGGTTCCGCCAGGTGCTTGGTCGCCAGCCAAGAGCTACCCGCCAGCATGATCTGGTCACGGTCCCAGCCTGAACTGTGGGCCCACAACACCATAGACTGGATTTCCCAGTTGAGAGATAACCCCACGGAGCAGGAAACAATTGGGACCGACCTCAGGTTACCCAGACATCCCCTGGAAAAGACTCGGGTTCCGAGGGTGCCCCAAGAGCCAGTCCGGACCCAGAGCCGGGACACAGGCGCCTGCACTGAGCCCTACCTGCACGCCTGATTCGCCGCCTCAGATAGAACTGTGGGCACCAGGGCACCAGAGCACCAGACTGCGTGTCTCTGGCAGGAGGAAACTGCCAGCGGAGAAGGTCAGCAGCTCTAACGCTTAGGACACCCAGCACCAAAACACTTCCTGGACTCACGCAGACTCTAGTGCAGGCAGGAGCACTGTGCTCTGCTGCCATTATTGAGTTCCCCTAGGGCACTGGGACACAGAGCTGCATCCTCAGACCTACAAAAGCCAGAGAGCCATTACAGCAGCCCTCAGATACTGTGCGAAGGATCAACCAGTTATCCCTAGCTAGACTGTCAAAACTGTGGGAATCCCTGGTCCTTCAAGAGGGCTGCACCCACAGCATCTGGACCAGAGCAGTGCCTGCAGCCACCATCCCAGACAGAGACACACAGCTTCTGGTCCAGAGTGAGGCACCCAGCCTCCAGACCAGAACAGTGCCCCCAGGCGCCAACTAAAACTAGGTGCAAATTCTCCAGGTCCAGAGCGGAGCAATCAGCCTCTGGCCCAGAGACTTGCTGAGTGCACCTCCAACTTTCCCGGACAGAACTGTGCACCCCAGGATAACAGACTGAGTTTCCCTGTTGGAAGAAAACCCCACAGCTAGGGAATCAGCAGTTTCTTCAAGAGGACTGTACATGGAAATTTAGTGAGCAGCAGCACACTAAATTTATAACAAGAAACCCAGCAGTGGGGCAGCTGTCTTGAGAAATTCTATGGGTAAGAGGAGATCCCCCCCTGCCTAACATAGACCACAGCTACTACTCAGGGCTATAAACCTGAGGTGAGCAGTGGCAACTCCTGAGAAACACTGCCATACAGTGACCATAACCAAAAAGCAGAGAAGGACTCCTTCAGGAAAAATCATCTTCCGGCCAAGGGGATACTCCCTACCTCAGGACTCCAGGAAGCACAGAAACTAACAGCCAACACCTAAATCAGCCCAATGGGTAGAGGTCAGCGTAAAGGCTCAACCAACAAAAGACAGAGCAATATGGCATCTCCAGAACCCAGCCATCCAGAGGCGAACAGCCCTGAACAATGCAGCATAATAGAAAATCAAGAAGATGACCTTACATCTATGCTGATGAAGAGGATAATAGAGGAAACAAATAAAATACGTAAAGAAT